ACCCGAACGACACACTGGGCTGCACGTCGCTCACACATCGCGTGCGGGGATGGATCATTTATTTGGATAGAGTCGAGTAAGAAGCGAGGGTAGCCTACAGTTGTGCCCAGAGCCTACGGAACGTGACGACGGCACATCTACAACATGCTAGGGTACATGTGGTATTGCTGTTGCCTGGAGTCCTTGCCCAACCTTGCACGGCTGCATCNGGCACATCTACAACATGCCAGGGTACATGTGGTACTGCTGTTGTCTGGCGTCCTTGCCCAACCTTGCACGGCTGCATCACGTCCACATTGAACAAAAGGGCCCCGATCAAACTCTTGTTGCTGGCTTTTCATTTTCGCTGAGATTTACCAATCTATTATGTAGACTATGTATTCAAGCCGTGGAGAGCGCCATTGGCCATTGAAAGCCGTGGAGAGCCACTGAAAAAGTCACAAACAGTACGTTGGTCACGTCGATGCGCTTTTAGGTTGAACGGTACGGCACAGCATCCTTGAACCCTCTACATCATTTGTTGTCGATGAATGAACTCGCGGGGGATAGAAGCAGTGTTGTTCGCAAACCCGCAGCGAGGTTTGCGCAGGCACAAGTGGTTTTCATTTTCAGGTAACAATCGAGTGCGCCCTGGCTTTCCAGCCACACAATATCGAAATTACGACCAGCCATGTCTCGAGCTCACCAGCAAAGTCGGTTACTATGCATATGTATTGTAGCGCACCTCTGAGGACATTTGAGGCCTATACCAAGAGGTCCGAGGAAGGCCATCAGCGATTGCTTCTCAGCTTCACACTTGAGCCCCGGGTTGAATGTTGCACTTTGGTTGGCGCGCCAAGTCTCGTAGCGCAATGGGGTCAAGTGTTCATTATCGCGACAGCAGTTCCCCCATTTGTTCGTGATACGCCGTGTACTACGTGTGTGTACCCCCTCTAACAACATGGGGCCGAACAATTGCACCACGGAGATCCGGTGGAGGTTTGAAGTGGTATCAGCAGTAATGGATAATCGACTACTACCTGCTTTTTATCTCGAACGGGCAATATCTCTGTGTTCGAGTGTATGTCTTCCTTCGGCACTTTTCCCTTGTCAACAAAAATGCTGCTGCTTGTGACCGTGGTACCTCCAACACCACGGCAATGCTGTGACAGACATTGCGGTGGTTGCATGTACCTCAACCAGCGTGTTCCCGGTGTTGTTCAAAACGAGCAGTAGCTTGAGCTTGTTCAACGGTTACCGCCATCCGTGCGAGGAACGGTGGGCAAGGACTGCTCTTCCCTTCAAAATTGATTTCATTTGAAAGAACCGACAGAAAAGAAGGCACCCAGAGAAAGAGAAAGTGAGGAAAAACGGGGGGGATGCCCGCGTCAACCGACAAGGGTTGGGTAACATTGCGACCTCATCCTACTATCGGTACAATTGGGGGGTGTTTTTGGGCCGATTTTTGTTCCAGGTGCAAGCCTACAGATTCGCACAACAGCAGCAATACAGGAAGCAGCATACCGGCCACGGAAAAGACTTTCCTACTACCCTTGGCGGCATCTCGCATTTCACCTGTTTGCTAGCTCTCACTCTTGCCGTTTTGGTAA